CTTGTATTGCAAGTCAACAACGAGTCAGTCATAAATCTGGCAAAGAATCCAGTTCTGCATGAAAGAAGTAAACCTATTGAAGTAAGGTTTCACTTCTTGAGGGAAAAGGTAAATCGAGATGAACTTGAAGTAAGACATTGCTCGAGTGAAGCACAGTTGGCCGATATTTTCACAAAGGATTAAAGATTGACAAATTCATAAATTTGAGAAAGAAATTAGGAATAATTCAGATTGACTATTTTTGAGGATGTTCGACAACTTAAATTATAGAAATGTGTTGAAATATTAAATTAGATTTATTAAAATATTAGATTATATTTGATTTTATTAGATTTAATATTTAAATATAATTCAAGTTATATAGATTCAAACCCAATTAGAGTGATATATAATCATTATCTGTAGAATTCAATAATACAAATCTTAATTTTCTTTATTATTCTCTCATCATTAAAAGAACTTTTTCTTAATTCAATAATATAAATCACACACACTAAAAAAAACTCTTAGACTTCAATAATATAAATCTCACACACTAAAAAAAACTCTTAGACTCTAATCATATGTTTAAATTCTAATCTAGAAGACTTTTTCTTGCTATCTAACATAAAAGAACTTGATAGTATATATTTCCTCCTATTTCCAAGTGACTGCATATACATTAACTGTCTCTTATTTTAAGAAAGAGATATTAAAATAAGTTTATAATAATTGAATTAATGTCTTTATGGCTCTTTATCTTCACACACGATACCAGCAAAACAAAACAAAAACAGCTTCTACTACTGTTTTCGTCATTTATCTTCACACATGATACATGCAAAGCAGAGAGAGAGAGAGAAAAAAAAACAGTCTAGAGGCTGTCGTCGTCCTTTTCATTATCGCATAGCCTCGTAGTCAATGGCAAAACAATAATAGTACTACTGATTGGCTTCAATTCAAAATCTTAAACACGAAACTTAGGGTGGAGCCTATATAGCTTGGACATATGCATGAAAAGTCTTGGATATCGAGTCACTCCTAAGAGCATACGTACATCGACATGTTTCAACCGTCCCTACACAAAAACCAAAGAACTGTGTCAGAAAGAAATTTATGGATATTTAGCAATTTGAATGTCCTTTGTTTTGCTTCCGTCCTTCTGCACCATAAATTTTTCTTTCCTGAAATTTTGATATATGATCTTGAGACCGACTAATTTAAAGGGAACAATTTCACCATTTATTTACGAAGGTTTTGTTTAAAATCAGAGCATAGTTTTTTTTGTATGGACTGATCCTATATAAGAATTATTTACTTCTAACTAAATTCGAATTTAAGATCTTAAGAGAAATACATTTTTAAGACTCAAATCTCAATCATTAAAGAAATTCATGGGAATTACCGTAACGTTCTTTAATATATAAATTGGATTAAAAATAGTATTTAATTATATTTATGGTATATTAAAATATTTAATAAGACTCATTTTACTGATTTTAACATGTTGGATATATATTTAAAAAATATAGATAAATTGTTTAAATAATTATAAAAATTAGTGAGATTCATTTAAAGAAATAAAATGAGTTAGATGGATATTGATGCTCTAAGGACCACAATTCTCTAGGAAAAAAATAGAGAAAAAGAATTAAAAAAAAAAGAGAGGTGAAATAAAATGAAGTAATTTTAAGTTAAATGGGTTTATGTTTTTGGCCATGTGGAAATTAAAATCCCTAATTGCCAAAGAGAAAAAAACACAACAACTAGCATTAAAACCGTAATTGTAAAGTTTGACAAGGGAAAACTTGATTTGTGGTAAATGATTGTGTAATAAATTTCATCGAATATATTAACAATTATGTCATTTTTATTACTTAAATAATGATTTGTCTGAGTTGGTTTTGACAAATGATGTTAATGGTCATAATGAGGTGATTTTAGAGTATCTGTTTAGAGAAAAATTAATAATGTGGTGCGAATAATAAAAATAGAGTTCTAATAAAAAATATAATTATTTTTTTAAAAAGAACATCATCTATTTAAGTTGTAAATAACATCAATAATATCAAATATAGTTATTTATCCGTGTAACTAACATAAAAAAGATATCATATTCTAATCAATATTATCAAAATATCTTCTAACTACTTAAAAATGAAGTCTCTCTTCTAACATTTTTTGAAACAAATATCAATAAAATTCGAATAATTTTTTTTTAAGCTCCTGTATTTTGGAGGCCCTGGGCAGTGGCCCACTTTGCCCTGTCTTGGGGCCGGGTCTGATGCTGCTGATGAAATTGCTAAAGTCGGGATAAAGATGAAGAACTTATTCTTGCATTTTGTTAAGATTCCTCATTTCATTAGGAATCAATTGCTCGAGGATTTGATAAGTAATTCTACTTCTAAGATGGTAGTTTTGTAGTTTATTTTTCTTTTTAGATTGGGGCCATCTTCTCTATCAAAAAAAATTGTCGTTAATGATTTTCAAAATAGTTTAAATTCTCTTAGATTTTGTTTAGGAGTTAGGTTAGGTTGGGGGAATGGAGGTCTTGAAGAAAAAAAAGAAGTTTTTAATATTTTGTAAAATTGTGTGTTTGTATAAAATAATAAATGAATATTCATTATTATTATTATATTTTTAATTTTTAAAATATTAAAACAATATAAAATATATTTGAAGAATTTATCTAACTTCTTCTATTTTAAATTTTGAATTCCTCTAATTTAGAGAGATTTTATATTATAAATAAAAGCAAATTCTCTAAAATATATCTAACCAAAATCTTTCAATTTTTTTCTTTCTATTCTTTTTTTTTTCAAAGTCGTTCATTATTTTCTCCTCCAAACTTTCATATAAAATTTTAAAATTATTTCACTAATCGTTAGTTAGTTCGGTGGTGATTAATTTATGACTTGATAGGAAAGATCATGAATTGAATTTTAATAAAAAAGAAATTGAAATCACTTATGCCAAAACTGACTCCGAATTAAACTATACCAATAGTGAAAGTTAAAAAAGAAAAAACTTTAGAGTTGATTTAGTAAATTCAATGATGTGCAAGTTTTGTTTAGTTGTTTGATTTCCACCGTTGGTTAAGGTTCTTATTCCTAAAGTTATTATGAGTATTTTGTGTACCCATTATTTACACGGTGAAAGGTTTTAATGGAATATATCTTGTGGCTTTTGATCTCATATCATGTTAAAATATAGTGCATTTAGATAAATTTTTATGTGATTATTATTGTGCTATGAAATTAGTTTTGTTACTTGTCTATTTAAATTACACATGTGTGGAAAAAACATTTTGTTTTAAAGACGACAATTTATTTGATTATTTCTCAACAATGCTACAAAAGTTTGATTTGACAGCAACTCATTGTATTGAAAAATTTTCTAACAAAGATGTTCACATGTGACATGTTCTCTTGAAGGCTAGCAACGACAATACATGTAGATAAATTTTCATTTGAGGGCGAGCATACATATAAGATTGGATGAATTCATACTTAAAGGGAATAATATGTATATATCAAATTGAGGAAGAGTCTCATATTCGATGGAAAAATGAATGTTGAACACTTTATAAATAAGAGGATCTATAAATTTATACTATAAATAATATATTTTATGATAAAGTTTTCACCTCAGTCAATAAATAGCTGAAGGGTAAAGTCTAGACACGCCAAATTTTAATTTATTTTAGAAATATCATCTATTCCCTCGATTGAAATAGAAAACAACGAACTCAGAGACACACTTCACATCCTAACAACTGCAATTTATGATTTTATTTCTTTTTAATGATTTATTTTATTTTACTGTGTGTGACTTCTTTCATATTTTATTTTTAAATAAAAATTAAGTCACTTTTCATGACTTCAAGTGTTAGACTTTTCACCTCGGTTGTGATTTTCAACAGTGGTAAAATATTTTACTATATAGCTTAGCTTATAGGTCTCTTCAATTTCACTTGCCTAAAATAATACACCTAGAACCCTAACAAAGTTTATCATCTCCATTAACAACAAGAGCCTTAAACACATATCATCCTCAATTCGTTCACCATTACATCATAACTCCATATCCATATCTTCTCTAACTCGTAAAAAATTAAGAAAATACGAAGATGATATGTGTTTAGATCTCTCATTTGATACTTGCAAGAATGAAAGACCGAAATCATTTCTTTGACTTCTTCTTCACATATATGGTACGCGAAACATCACTACTCATGTTACATTAATGTTGTTGTTGTTATTGTTGTTGATACCCTAAATCCTAGAGGTTTAATGTTGTTGTTGTTTACACTAAGATTGAGTGTTATATGTTGTTGCTTTTGTTAAGATAAAAATAAAATAGAAGTTTTAAAAATTATTTTTTATTGTTTGAATAGTATATATATATATATATATATATATATATATATATATATATATATATATATATATATATATATATATATATATATATATATATATATATATATATATATATATATATATATATATATATATATATATATATATATATATATATATATATATATATATATATATATATATATATATATATATATATATATATATATATATATATATATAATAAATAAATTAAATGATCAATTAAAATCGTTAGATTAATGAAAACCAAAAGTTAAGATTTCGAGTAATTCTTTTAAATTTACTCTTGAAGTAAGAATATCCCTCTTTTATATATATATATATATATATATATATATATATATATATATATATATATATATATATATATATATATATATATATATTTGAATCAATTCAATACTTTGATATATTAAGTCAAAACAGATCTGTACAAGGTGATCATGTAGGATCCAACCCTTAATAAAGGACCAACAGAAAACCAAAACGGAAAAACTTAAACTAGATCATCATCAATCTAGAAATGTGCTCTCTAAGTTTGGGATTACTTCATCCCCTAAAAACTAGTATTGCAATATTTCTCTCTCTTGTATTTGTGTTATTTACCTTGTTTCCATATCATGTATCATTTCTATACTTCCAAATTGCATAAATCGTTTCCGCTGCAACACTCTTAAGTAATTGCGCTTTCCAGCCTTTACCTTTGCTAGTCTTCATTATGTACTTCAATTCATCCGACCATTCTCCAGGGTCATGTGTAACCTGCAACCAGTATATGATTTGTTTCCATATATGCCTCAATTCTAGACAGACAAAGAAAAGGTGGTGGATCATTTCTACCAAATTACAGAAGCATCATCTTACATTGTAAATCACACCGAACATGTGAAGCCTCTCTTTAATTTCCAACTGATCGTGACAGTCTAGATAAAACACAAATAATGCTCTTGGGCACGCCATATTACTATACAATGTTTTTCTCCACTCCGTAATTGGATAGTCATATATTAAGTACTTATAAACTCTATTTGTTTCAAACTTCTTACTCATATTATTTCATCCTTGCATCTGATGAGCCGTGTCCCTTTATTTTAGAATAGTTTTTAAAATCCATGAGCAATCTTGCTTCACTTGCATTGTCATCAGCTAATCTTTCTTGATGTAGTAACTTTGAATCTATTTTTTCTGTGGGCTATCTGCATTTCCAGTAAGGTTCCACAATAATTTAACCATGTTGGCTTTATTCCACTCACCAAGTGATATCAAGTTCATACTTCATTGAGTTATAGTTGCATAGGCTTGATCCCAGGCATCTAGGGATTTTCTTATAAATGTATCCCCACAAGTCCATAAAAACGATCTACATACAATATTGATTTTATGAATGACCTTTTTGGGGAGAGGGAGACATTGCATCCAATAATTTGTAATTTCAAAAGTCACACTTCTGATAAGTTGTAATCTACCGGCATAGCTTAATAATTTAGCACTCCTATTTTTTATTCCCATCACAATTCTATCAAACATGTTCGTGTAGTGGCAAATTGACAATTTCTTACTGGTGAGAGGCACTCCTAAGTACCTAAAGGGTAGGTATCCTTCACTTGAGTAATGTCTTACTTCAAGTTCACCTTGATTTACCTTTTCCCTTAGGAAGTGAAATCTAGCTTTGATATACTTACTTTTTCCACGCAAAATGGATTATTTTTAAGATTAATGGTTGACTTGTTGCCAATCTGCAACACTAGAGGTTTCTTCACTTCGACCTTGATCTCTTCCAACATAAATCCGATCTTAATTGCTCATGAAACATAGGATCTTGCTATATATTCAGCCTCGCACGATGGCAATGCCACCACAAGTTTCTTTCTCAAACACCATGAGATTGGGGCACCAAATACTTGAAAGAAATAACCAGTTGTGCTTCTTCGATCTTCCTTATCTCCACACCAATCAGCATATGAAAAACAAGTAACCATAGATTATTTGCTTTCATAGTCTCGTTGAAATAGAATTCCACAGTTTATCGATCCTTTTAAGTATCTCAAGATTCTTCTTGCAACCTTCATGTGAGATGCCATTGGTTTACTCATGTATATGCTTATTAATTTGATTGTGAAACATGTATCATGTTGACTGTTGCACACATACCTCAGAGATCCCACAATTTGTTTGAACAAAGTAGCATCGACTTTGTCTTCCTCTCCATGCTTCTCCAACTTCAAATTTGGTTCGAAGACAAAGATGCAGGAGTTAAATCATACATCCTGAATATTTTGAGTATTTCTTTGATATACTTCCTTTGATGCAGCACCATACCTTACTTCGACATTTGAAATTCCATGCCTGGGAAATAAGACAATTCTCCCATATCTGACATTTCAAATTCACTCATCATCAGCTCTTTGAACTTCGACAAGTTCTACAAGATATTTCCAGTTACCAACAATTCATCGACATATAAGCAGATGATCATTATATTTTGTGCCACAACCTGAACATAGGCACTGTCATACCCAAAATTTTGACCTAAGATCCAACCTTCATTTTCATTTTTCATAAAGCATCAAGGTCACGAGATATAGTTGGTTTTTAATCCGCCCACCTTCGAGCATTTCTTATGCATAGATTGTCAAGTGTTGTGAACATTTCATCTTATGCCACTAACTTCTAATCAAGAACAGAGGTGTATGTTTTTATTTCTTTGGTTTTCATGTGTAGAGACAGGTTTGAATCAAGAGCGTCAAGTGTTGCACCTTAATAAAGGTTTTGGATCCCTCAAGTGTTCAAGTATGGTGAATCACCAATTCTAAAAGGCTACTTCATCAAAGCTTAGCCTATAATCAAAAACTCAATCAAGATTCCATCATCACAGGTTCAGATGTGCATTAATATATCTTGGAATGCAAGGAAAGACCAAGTTTGCAAGTCGATTCAAAGCACTTTGGCCAAAAGTCAACGTTTTCACATTTAAGTTCAAACGATCATAACTTCTACATTACTCAATATTTTTAGTGGTTCTTTTTGCGTGTGACTCTCCTTGACGTCATCTCTAACTTCTCTTTACAAGTCAAGAGCTGATTATATGAGGAGGATCATCGAAAAATTTAAATATTTTAGAGGTCATTTTGTAAGTTTGACCTAATTTCAAGTAATTGTTGCTTGACTTTAAAGGATCATAGTGTCATACCCCAAATTTGTCCTACCTATTTTGCTCTTATCTGGTTTAGGCTTTGCATTTCATTTGCATCATTTTCATTAGGTCAATCACATATCATTCATTCATTCAATATGGCAGTGGTTCAGTATCAGTGGTTGTGCTAATTAGGGCTTCACTTTGGTTTGAGTTTTCTTCATCAGATAAAGGCAGATTCATCTGGCTGTGGACAGTGGAATCAAGTTTTAAAGTATGGTTGTCATGAGTTTCTGTACAAGGCCATTCAGCAAAATCTTGGATTAAGGTTTATTTCCCTATGGGTGATTAAAAATCAGGGTTTGTTAGCATTATACCTCAGCTTGGGTTTGAACTTTTCAAGTGTTAAGTATGGCTAATTATTGATTCTCTTAGGCTACTTCATTAAAGCTAGGACTATAATCTCAAGAACACAGTCAAGACTTCATTATCACTGGTTCACATGGGCATCAATATGCTTTAGAATGCAAGAAAAGATCAGATTTGTATGTTAGTTCAAAGTACTTCGACCAAAAATCAACTTTTTGCAAGATCAAGTTCCAACAATCATAACTTCTTCATTATTCAAAATTTTTGAATGGTTCTTTTTGCATATAACTCTCCTTGACGTCATCTTCAACTCCTCTTTACCAATCAAGATCTGATTATGTGCGAAGGATCATCAAAAGTCTAAATACTTTAGAGGCCATCCTGTGGAATTTGACCTAATTTCAAAATAGTTGTGCCCAACTTCCGATGATCATAACTTCTTCGATTCTCAACATTTTCGGATGATTCTTTTTGCATATTATCATAGATGATGTCGTCTACGACTTTTCTTTAAAAGACCAAGGACAAATTATGCTTAGAATACCTTGAAAGTTATTAAATTATCATAGTTCATATTTTGACTTAGAATATTATTAACTTCTACTTTCAACTCATAATAAGTTCTTCAAAGGCATTGTTCGTTACGGTGGATTAAAGTATAAGATGCAACTCATTTTGATCGGTGCAATTTTTGGTTTTTTTTCTTACTTAAATTTGCAAATAATTTGAAGAGTTATAAAATAAGGGTTTGAAGTTTTTCATGTGAAATTAGAACCGAGTTTCTTGGGGTACAAGTCAATTTGAAATTGGTTCATAAAGATTTGAATGGATTTGAGTCAAATGGCATCAAGTGGTTAAACATTCATTTTGTGTAAGATTTTGATTCAAGTTGAGAATTAAAGATCACATAAGGGTATTATTCAGAATTTGAGATTTACAAACTCAAGGTTCATTCATGTTGAATTAGTCCAAGCTATCAAAGGCAAGACGTTCATCAAATTCATTCATGATTTAAGAACTCATTCCATATGATTCTACCCTAATAAATTGCAAGATTTGAATCCAAAAGTTCAAAGGCTTGAAGAGATTTCTCGTACAAGGCATCACTTTATTCATGTTACAAGGGGATGATTTCAAGTTACATCAATACCATGAATTTTTCCTTTTACACTTAAAAGAACTACAAGAAAAGTTATGAGTTTCTTATTTGTTCTAAAGATACAAAGGAAAGATAATTGTTCTTTAAATTTCCTTGCTCGATCTTCAAGCGACTTGTTCTCACACCTTGCTATGACTTCTTCTTCAAGTCTTCAATCTTGCCTTGCCTTTTCACCTTCCATCAATGTCACATGAAAATAAACAAGGTGTTGGTTAGAACAATCATCATCAAAACAATGAAATTTAAACAAGAAGTGTTCAAGCAAAATTTTCTTCTAATCTCATCATTAGGGATTTTGTGAAGGAATCAGAACAGGGGGTTTAAATTAAATCATGTGCTAAAGCCCAACAAAGGCCTCATTATCTTACAAATAAAAAATCAGAATTCAAAAGATCAATCATGGGCCTTATCTCCTATTGTAAATCACAAAAGGTGATTTTGGTTCATATTAAAAGAAAAAGAAAGTCCATGCAGTATAACAGACGCAAACCTCAAGTATAATAAATCAGAAAAAGATTCAAACATTTCAGCAAAAACAAGTTACTGCAGTAACAAAGTCAACAAAGAAACATTGTCAAAAGCTCAACCTTGCTGCGAACAGTCTGTTTTATTGTAAAACCAAATACAACAAGCCAAAACAGCCCCAAATAGGCCCTACAAAGACAACCTCATATGTTGTCCCCAAAGCCAGCTACTACTAGCATGTAGAAACAAGCCAAAAAACATGTCCACTCCCCTCCAAAACCTGTCAATATTGTACACAAGAATAGCAAGCTAAAAGTAGCATAAAAAAGCAACAAAGCAGGGCAACAAAACAGTTCAAATCAATGTTATCTTTCCCACCAAAATGCCTCTTTCTTTTCATATAAACAGACACAAAAAAATAGAAAAAGGGGAATGTTCGAAGAAGCACAACAAAAAACGGCAGCAACCACAAAAAAAATAACAATATCATCATCTTCCCTTTCCAGAAACCCCTTCAGAAAAATATACAATATTGTTCAGAAAAACTAGAAACGGCACAAACCCTAAGAAGTTCATCATCTCCATTTTCTCAAAACCCTTTCAAAGATTGGCGAGGAGAAACAGAAAAATTTGTTCACGATTATCACAAAAAATACCCGTAGCAATCACAAACCAAGCCAAACCCTGAAATGACTTCATCATTTTCGC